CACTATCTCCTTGAGCGTGTGCTTTTCAAGTGACAATCATCCATTACTGGTAGATATCTTCATACACTCTCCTAATCGAGTAAAGAATGAATCAAAATTTACAACTAGATGAACCCCCTTGTGATATAAAAATCTCCCCTTGTGATACAATACGACTTTATAAATCCAATCCTAAAATCGAAAATGAACCTTGCATCTCTCTTAGAATGTGCAACTTTGTGTGATCTTATTTCTTAGACACCCTGTTAAACAGAAAAATTAGTTGTGGAGTTCTATATTTTTTTAATGTATTTTTTAAATGAGAATACAGTTGACAAATAGAAGGCCACAAAATTTACCCAGTTAAAGTAGTTGTAGAGTTCTTGCCAAGATAACGATGCAGACTTACTCTGCTAAACTTGGTGTGGGCATTTAAGCTAACCCCCCCAAAAACAAACAAACCCAAAGACCAGGTTACAGAAGAGTTTAATCTCCAGCTCCTATTCATCTGCTACATTGTATCCTGTCATGGGCGGAATTGACATTGCAGTATGTCCTTTAGGGCTGCAACAACTAATCGACATCGATTATAATCGATTATTGAAAAAGTTGTCAACTTTTTCAATAATCGATTAATCGGCTATTGTAGGATTGTCCCTTGTATGTCAAGAAATGGAAAACATTTTGGGGAGATTTTTATATCACAAGGGGGTTCATCTAGTTGTAAATTTTGATTCATTCTTTACTCGATTAGGAGAGTGTATGAAGATATCTACCAGTAATGGATGATTGTCACTTGAAAAGCACACGCTCAAGGAGATAGTGGGATGAAATTGTTCATTAAGTTATGTGCAGGAACGATGATCAAAACGGCAACGGTCACTCTCCAGTATGTAGATACACTGTTCAATTTTTGGGGAGATTTTTAGAATCTTACCTAATTATACTGAACTTTGATATGACGTGTGTGTGTGTACCATTGTTGATTAGAGTGGAGCAGTCGGTGATTCCGCTTTTGTTGAAAAAAATCACCTCTATTTAAACTATGTATGTTGCAAATATTTTAGCAGGTTTCATTGCCTTCCATTAAAATTGCTGTTTGCATTACAGTGTCCTTTCTCAAGCTAAACGCTAACCGGGTGGTCTGCCTTCATTATCAGCAACTGAGCAGTGTCTGTTGCAAAACGAAAGGAAGTACCGTCCACATTTTATTGGGCCATAAAAGAGTGATAGAAGCCATCTCAATGAAAATCTTAATACAGGGGATGACATTAATCTGACTTTGAACACTCTGTAGACTTCTGCAGGAAAATGCTGAAAATCACTTATAAAAGGAGTAAGATGCATTTTATGGGGTATTTTGAACACAAACCTTTGTCAGAAATGGCCAAATACAGCCTTGTATGTATTCTGATTTGCTCCAAATGGAGCCTATGCAGGGCTGAGGACTCTCTCTGGCCCTATGTGACCGCATTGGACCAATCGCCAACGTGGTTACTTGGAGTCACCTGCTGCTCCATGCCTGGGAGACCACCACAAACACATATACTTAAATTGTTTTCACTCTTCCAATGTTTTGTTCAGCCACTGGGAGTTACAGAAAAGCCTTGTGTAGCTAAGAGTCACTGGACTTCCCATGTGACAGCACTGGTTGGCCCAGCAATGCCACATGCTCCTCTATACCTGAAAGTACCAGGTATTTCTTTTGGCTACCAAATCTAAATGGAGCAGAGGGGAAAGTATGTGTTGCTGGGCAAGAGGGGATTAAAGAAAACTTATTGCTTTACACAGCATGGGCAACTGGTGGTGTCTACTTTCAGGCACATGGGTTACTTTTAATCTCAATCAATGGTTCTCTCTCTCTCTTCACTAGTCTGCTGGCCCGGTATGACTGCTTGAAAGGCACAGTGTTCATGTGGCTGAGATTTTTTCGCACCAGTCATTGACCAAGAAGAGTGATTTTAGTGAAATAAAAAAGGCTTCTTATAGGATGACCTGGAACATTTGCATGTAATGTAGTAATGAAAATTTGGTACAACGTATAATGTGGAAAACCCCTTTAAATTAGACAAATTGATCTCAACAAAGAAACATTTTTGTGCGCTTAACTAATAAAGTAGCACAGGCTATAAGTGCCCCAGGGTTTTTTTCCCTTGTAGCCTCGCTATTGGCTCATGAATAAAGTGACAGGTCTCTTTTGAGAGTTCATGGATCCTTCCTTTAAGTTGTAGTATGAAGCAGTTTGGACCTATTTTAAGAACATGCTACATTTCCCAAGCGCAGCAATTTCATGCAATTTAAAGAAAGCCTTTTATCAGGACTTTTGAGACTGGCAAAAGTCCTGATGATTGAACGGCGCCTCGTCCCTTCTGACGGTTTCGGTCATTAAAATGTATGTTCAATGAACAATGTTTTAAATATGAAATTGTAATACTCTTAACTTGGATTACATACGGCGTTCATATTGTACTCTTTGAAATGGCTCAGCGGGACAGCTGTGGAAAATGGAATATATTATACGGTGGGAGTCAGCATTACCATAATATTGTGAGCCCGTAGACAGCGAACAGAGTGTATTATGATTTTCCCGCCTGTGTGGAGGTGAAAATGGGAATAATAACCTTTTCTCCTTTTCTTTAGAATGATTCAATTTATTTATTTTCCTGTCTGCCCAGGAAGTTTGGCTGAAAGGCTAATGTGAAAAATACATTAGCATCCCCGGAAATGGTTGGGGCACTGCTTTAGGGTTTTGTGTATTCAGAGATGGCAGGTTTGCTTGGCAAAGGCCACAGGGTTTCAGAAATTGCTTTGAATTATCTCAGCTGTTCGCTGATCAAATCATATAGTTAAAGCAACATAAAAAAAATGCACAAACAGTTTCCTGCAAAAGAAGAGGTATTACCTGTATCTCCTACCTTCACTGTGTTGAAGTGCTTCAGCCTCTTTCAGAATCTTCAGAATGCATTGCTTCCAGCGGTATCGGATACCGCTGTGTCCCTTCTTGTCTCACCACTATAGTTGCATGTCACTACAACCTCTAGTTAGGTAGGAGTTGGAGGATGGGACCACTGTTCACAGCGGGTGATACTCCTGGAATTATCAAATGCTGGAGATGATAAAGGCGGCTGCAGTTCCATCCTCTGGCCCCTACATCACTACAGGACACAGTAGCCTGGCCACAGTTCTACCCCGGGCTAAATTTCTATTTAATCTTATGGTCCCCCAGGCAGTTTGGAAAATGAAGCTGTGGCTGCAATACTTCCCTTCAGTCCTGAGCTGTCCCTGCAGTACCTCTTCTTGGCCACAATATGTCTTTTAGGTCGAATGATGCCCAAAGTCAGTAACTCAGGAAGACTGATGTGAATGCAGGACATCATGGGCTTATCTGGACGCCCAGTGTGTGCTGTTGAAGAGAGGGACATAGACATCCCCACTCCATCTTTGATCTCTGCATTAGTCAGGACCACACTGTCTGGGAAAAACAAAACAAAAATATAAAATACAGAGCAGGGGACCTTCAGGGGTTGGAGAAGGTGGCCTGGGGAGGGGGTTGAAGCAGAGTGACGGAGAGATGAGCTCCTCAATCTGCTCTTTCTCCTTTCAGTGTCCAGGCAGTGGGAAGGACAAGACCTGTAAAGGCTACTTAGCTGCAGCAGAGAAAAATCTGACCTGCCAGACAGGGCTGTGTGGTAGGGTAGGGTAGTACTATTTAGGACTGGATGGACATAAATACAAATTCTTTTGCAGGCAAAAAGCTTCCTTATATGTATCTGTGTATCTAGCTGTGTGCCTGGTGTTCTGTTTTAAAAACAAACAAACCCCAGAGCAAAATGTTTATTAATCCTTGCAGTGGGTCTACCCCCACACTGCAAGGGTTAACCACTCATCTTGGTCTAGGGAGGAAATTGGTCTAGGGATGAAAATAAAAAAGTTATTCTCACCCGATCCTCTGAGCCAGCTTGCTCTTAGACTGGTCCTTCCAGCCTCGTTCCTCCTCCGCTGCAGCGGTCTAAGGTCCCTAAAGTTCTGTACACAGTGTATAGGATGTGAAGATGCCGAGGGACATAACATTGCTGCAGCAGGGGAGAAGACAGGCTGCAGGTAGAGCGGTCACAGCCGGCTTGGAGGATTGGGTGAGTATAACTTTATTTTCCTCCCTAGACCAAAACAAGCAGTTAACCCTTGCAGTGTGGGGGTAGCCCCATTGCAAGAGTTGATTTTAAAAAATGAGTCCTTTTATAAGTCGGACATTCGGACTCAAAATAAATAACACTTGGTGAATAAGTATGCTGGCACAGTAGGAATCATTTCAGATTTATTCCAGAATAAGATTTATTTCAGGATTTTTCTATTCTTGTATAAGCTCAGTTATGACGCGTTCTCAATACAATGTGCTCATGAAGTTCCTGTTCCTTATACAGTTTTTCTGTCTTCAGCGTACTTAGCACCAGCTCATCAGCTATTACATTTTATAATTTCCCTTTTAAGGTCATTTTGAGATTTAGTTTTTGCATTGCTTTTATTACACACTGTGAAGGTCTGGCAAATGCCTATAGGCACTATCCCCAGTATAGTGCACTGGATTTTGCATAGGAGTGTGTCACATGCTAAACATAAACACTTGCGTCACTCACATATATATTTGCCATCGGCCTATTTCGGTGGGTGACCTATCTGACAATTCTCATTGCCACGTGAACTGCACAGATTGTCTACTTTTTTTTTTCCGTTTGAGTCACTGTGGGAATCCTGCAGTTATTAATCATCCAGATGTTGAGCTGCAGACTGCTGAAATAATGTGATCTTCCAGTGTGGAGAAAATGACTGGGGTTACTCCAGATCAAAGGCACACTGCCAGGCCAGTACTCTTCTCTGCCACCCACCAGCTTCTGGTCAAGTTCTCTACTGATGTGTGCACTTTATTGTATAAATATAAACACAGCTGAACCACAAGTTGTAGAAATACAGTCATCAGTGTTTTTTTGTCTCCAGTGATGTAACATATTTGGTTTCTTTTCTAGGTCCCTTCCGATGGGAATGCTGGATTGCTAGCAGAGCCACAGATTGCAATGTTCTGTGGCAAGCTTAACATGCACATGAATGTTCAGACTGGAAAGTGGGAAAATGACGCCTCTGGAACGAAGTCCTGTATTGGGACCAAAGAAGGAATCCTGCAGTACTGCCAAGAGGTATGTGCCTATATGATATACAACTGTGCATGGACTATACCATTACATTTCATGGATGGGGAGGGGGGCAGTAGGATCTGTAGGGTGACAGTTACTTGGTGACAAAGTTCTCCCTTTAGCCCTATGTGGTGCGCTGTAGTGGAACTATTCTTACCTTGCCTTGTGGCCAACTGGCAGATTTCTGCTGCTCTAGATCAGCGTTTCTTTTTTCCATCACAGCACTCTTTAAAAGTATGCAAAATCTCAAGGCATCCCAGTCTTAAATGTACAGGATTTTAGGGGGGACGCCACACAAAAACATAATATGGGGTACACCCTTTACATCCGAACACCCCTTTCACATTAGTGTCCACCTTTACATCAAGAGCCCTTCTTTACTTTTAGAAATTAATGAAAGATTGGAGGGATACAGATGATGGACTGTTTTCTTAGCATCTTTAGCTAAATACTAGGGATGCACCGATATCAAGTACCATACTCGGTACAAGTACAGATACTTTTCGAGCTCCAAGACTAGACTAGAGAAACATTCAAAAGTTAGGAGGCAGATGTCATGTGTAAGGAGCACACAGAGGTCCTGGGATTTGTACATCTCGGTTTTAATGTATGATTTTGTTTCTATAAATAAAGGTGCACCGATACCATTTTTGTAAGTACGAGTACTGATACGTTTTTGTTTATTTATTGCCATGTGACAGATTTTCTAAAACAATACAGACTAATGATTTCAGGACAGTGATGGAGCGCCAGAGCCAGGTCCCAGCTGCAACCGCTGCAACCCTGGCAGTTCTCATGAAAATGCCAAGTATCGGCACTGATATCTGAACTGGTATCGGTGCATCCCTACTAAATACATATTCATACGGTTGCTAGAAATACTATATCCCAAATATGCTGTGCGTTGAGGGGAAATGAAACACAGGCAGATTTTACTGCTAACATTAATCAAAACCTATGTAAGAAATATTATTGTGAATATCTTTCAAATTAAAGGTGCCTAACTGAACATGTAATGTTTGTTTTACTGTCCAAGATTTCACCATCTCTGTATATGTTTCTTGCCATTACTGATATTTTGCTATTGCGTGGGCATTGTTGTATTTCAGCACATGACCACTCCAGGTCACTGTTGTTAAAGGGTATGTAAACCCAAGAACAACATTTTTAATACATTGTAGCTTGCTTGTCCTTCGATGTGTTCATATTTCAGACAAATACCTTTTAAGCAAGTGCAGAAAATACCAGTTTGTCTTGCCAGAACTGCCATGTCCTTGTCACTTCCTGTGAGCTGAAAGCACAAATATTACCTACTTACCTGCCTCTTAAGCTGTCATCTCTACGCTACTAATTATCCTCCCCAATATAATGGAGATGAATAAAGGAAGAATCTATTTGTAGTCCACATCACCCTGGGTGACGCCAACGGCTTCCTCCAAAGACATATAGTGAAGGAGTGAGCATAGCCACCCAGTGAGAGGAAGTGAGTTATTTGCGGATTACCAGGAAACACCCCCCCCCCCCCCAAAAAAAAAAAAACAACGCAGACAACACATTTTAGGACTGCTAAGCTGCAATATTTTAATTTAATTTGGGGTTTAAAGATGCCTTAAATTGGGATTCTTGTTAAAGAAGTAAAGGAGGCAATATGATGCACAGGAGGGATTTTAAAGTTGGTCACTGCCCTGCTTTATAACTCGTATAAAATGTAAAGAGTATTTTAAAGGATGCTGCTAATCAAATAACAGCAAATCTGTGGTTCAGCCTTTCTAGTTTTTTCAGTTCCTCAGCAGGCCCATAGACTTGAATCAATAGAAGCAGCAACAAAACAAACATTTGTGTAGCAATGCAAAGCAGGATGCATTTCCTTTAAGAGAAAGTGCAATGGCAGCCTCCATCCTGCTCTGATTTTGTGTCATTTCATTTATAGATTTCTTTCTTCTGACCATTTTGTAAACTGTCCTCTGTAAATCCAGGCATTTCAAGGTCTTCATTAATATTTATGTGGATGCAGCCAGCCTGTTCTGTACTAAGTAGGAGATTCCGTAGCTGTAGCCATTTGACTGTTCTGGTGATGTCACAGTATGGCCACCTCATCAATTTTTCTTGTTTTCTGTGTATTCTTGGCAGTGCTTGACAATCCTTGGTACCTGTACATTTTCCACGCAGATTTACTCCTCTCCCGCAGTGAAAATCCCCATAAAGCAGATTTGTTGCATATTTAAGAAGAATCACATTGACTGACATAATTATTTTTCCCCAGCTCCCTCCTGTTGATGAGTTAGAGAGGCTTATGGGGATTGGTGGATACGGAACACTCAGTCATGGCAGCTTGTTCTACCTTTTTAATCTGCGAGAGCATCCAGTCATGAAAATTAGCTGTCGGAATGTGAAAGCCACTGTTTCTAATAATAAACCTGTAAAGAGCCACTGGGAAATGTAAAATATCTAAGCTGACTAAAACCTCTACCTTTCTGGCAAATATGGTATTAGAAGACATATTAATAAAATCCTCATCTTTCTAAATAATTACTTTTTATGCTGTTCCTGGAATGGACCTTTTGAAGTATCGTTTGCAGCCTTCTCTGACCTTCTTTTTACCATTGTGCTAAATAGAACTTTTGAAATAACAATCAGATCTCGGAGAAACCCTGCTAAAATGTATATATCTACTACTCATGGTTCGTTAGTGTGATCAGTAAGTTATACATATAGAAAGAAATAAAAAATGTTGGCATATATTTGTCAGTTAGAGTGGATAATTATTAGCATTCTACCCCTCAAACACACATACGTACACACACTATACATCAAAATAATTTTGTATATCATGAAATTACATTTATATTAACAGCCAGAGAAGAAATTTAGACAGTCAAAAGCTGTCCCCTTACATTTTATTATTTATGAAGATTGGAATGGCACCCTTAGGTTGGTGACCACTGGAGAAAGACATCTTTTACAATTGTGATCAGTGGAAAGAATGCCCTATTACATTGGTTGTCAGTGGCAAGAATACCCCCTTACATTGGGGGTCAGTACTCCCATGCTGCTGGCTTAGCTGAGTAATATTGGTGGCAGAACTATGCAAGCACTTTCAGGTGATCCATTATTCCACTACTGCTCCAAGGAACCGCTAGCAACCTATGGAAGAACTCTTAAGGTACCATGGAACCCTGGTTAAGAAAGGCTAATCTATTTTATTCAAAGGGAAACTGTGATATGTATACTGTTTGGTACAACAGCCAGTTCATCCATCAAAAAAGTTAAATATTAACACATTTTAATTTGGTAAATAAATATGTGCCGAGCTAACAAGTGTGTGTGTGTGTGTGTGTGTGTGTGTGTGTGTGTGTGTGTGTGTGTGTGTGTGTGTATATAAATATATATACTTAAGTAAAGTGCTCCACCATCAAATATTGTAATTAAAATGATGTACCACATACATCAAGTGTTCCAAACATTCTACCACACAGTATTGTCCTTCACAACAGTATATCAAACACACATATACATCTCAAGAGTTCACAATATAGTGCAATGTTTGGAACACTTGATGTATGTGGTACATCATTTTGATTACAATATTTGATGGTGAAGCACTTTATTTGTTGCATTTGATTTAAGAAGGATTTGATTATGTTTGTACGATCCATCCAGGATTCACATTTTATTTATATATACAATCTATATATCTAGCTCGGCACATATTTATTTATTTTTATCTTCATCTGTTTTTTGGGTGGACATTAAGTGCTTTGTAGCTTGGATTAGGTTATTGGCGCGAGATTTATTATTTACATTTTCATTTGTGTACTAGGGCCTTCCTTACCATCTTGTCTTGATTTGTATTGTAACTGTAATGTCTTCCTTATATTGTGAAGCGCCGCGCAAACTGTTGCTGTGGGTTAAAGCATGAATAATAATAATATTATTTTTATATATACAGTATATATTTTTTAAACATGATGGTTTGTCTGATAACTGAGGTTCCTGACCTTTTTTGGCTAGTAAACCCTATTCCAATGTAATGAAGTACAAAAAAAAAATGAACCTACTGAAAATGTTATCATATAACACTTCTCTATAAAGGGCAAATTCTATTCAAAGGACACTCTCTATCTGCCCACTTAGTGGTGTTGTGTCCTATCACTATGTATGTTCTATGTCTGATAATGTCAGAGCTTAGACAGGGTCAGCTTTCTTCCTCCTCCTGGCTGCCCAGGCATATTTACTGCATCCTGGGAGAAGGTCCCATACTCCATGTCTGGAAGGAGTAGGTATTTCAGAAGGTCAATAACAGCACAAGAAGAGAGAACATCAAGGAGATGTTCTAATACACAGCTAATGCGTAATAACAGAGGCTGTTGGAAGTTATGTAACAAGTAACTTAGAGCCTTGTGTGGCTCCAAACACACCTGCCTTACAATACCATAATTAAGAAAATGCCGGACTTTAATTTATAGTGGTTTTGAACTTTTTGGGGGTAAATTTATATACTTTGTATTAATATTTTTAATGTCTACTTTTCAGCTAGCAGGTGGAATTTTAGACTCGTGTTTTTGTTTTCAAGGCTGTTTGCTGCTTTGTGTCATCTGTCATTGGGCAGCTCAATCTCAAACTGTAATATAAACTTGACCCCTAACCAATATATACACAGATTTATTTAGAGCGCTACTACTGTATGGAGAGACTTACGTTTAAGATGTCCCTGTGTCTCGGAAGAAAATCGTCTGTGATCCCCGTGTGGAGCTTGATTTGGCCAGGGTACAAGTGGGGTAACGATGGGATGGATGAATGCGTGCCTAGATGGTATAGGGCTGGCAGGAACGATCATATATTCAAGCTGTGCAGACTGGGATGGCCCGACCTGGCCGCAACGGCAGTGCATGGTGACCGCTAGATAGGTGTCAGTGGGTCAGGCTGTACGACAGGCTGCACATGAAGACAGAGGGGGCCGCAATGAGTTGGAGTCTGCTAAACCCGCTGGGCGTCAAAGAAGG